AATTTATCTCCATTTCCCAAAGTTGGAAAATTGAAGTCTTTAATTCTGTGCAAATATATAATTAGACATATACTTAAATAATTATCCTTAAGTACAACTGAATTATACTTAGATTAACACATACACATAGACAATCACTTTCATTTCTCTTTCCTATTCTTTTCTTTTCTCTCCACATAGCAAACATAAAAATACTAAGTTAAAATCATTTCACTTCTGATAGACAAACCAAATTCTAAGCAAGATATCAAATACATTTATTGGTGAATATGTCGTTGGCAATTAAATATTTCAAGATATATTTTTGTTCTTGATTCAGTGTGATTTATATCTCTGATGTCCCTGGATTCCAATTTTATATCTGCCTAAAAGAATAAATTTTTCTATTAAATTAGCAAAAGAAGCAAAAGACAATCTTTCATTTATCTTTTCCTTGTGATTAGGGTATTGGATTGGTTGTTTCATCAGACATGCTGTAGAAATGTAAGTAGCCAGACCTAGAAGTATAACTTCTTTTCTAAATCCTTACACAGTAAATAATTAAAGGTAATTTTGTTTGATCATGGAATGATTGCCAAAAAACAGGTCGGAAAATTCACAGGATTCGAATATGACCGGCTGCTGTTAAGTGTCGCAGATTTTAATTGCTTATAAATACATTTCAGTTGCTTCGTATTAGCTTATTGTTTAGGAAACCAGGATTCTCACGTTTGACTATCATTTTCTGCTCCTTTTCAATATACTGGTATCAGTCTATTATAGAAATGACATGTAGTGGTAGAAAGTGTATCACTTGGATGGCAAATAGAATTGAGTTATGTTCAGTAATTCACTTCCTGTAGATCCTTAAGTAAACGATGATTACTTACTCTCTAAAGGTCTCATCATCCCCTAAATAGATTCCTCACTCAGCTGTTAGAAAGCATCACTGAAATGCCATGGTGTGGATGGCAATGGTGTCTAGTTTCTTCTGACTTTATGATCCAGGAGGAAAAGTATCATGAACATCAGACCAAGGCTAATTCCTATAAAAGGTAGAGGTCAGGCACATCTCCTTTCTTCAATCCTTTTATCAATTCTAACACCAGTCAACCATTTCACAGAGCTCTCAACTTCTTTGAGGGGTTAACAGATTTGTTGCAATGACCACATGGAACTCATAGACTTTACTCACAGTTAAGAGGATTATTGGAAAATTAAACTGAAAAAAAAAAAAACCCAACCCAAAAACCCAACCCTCTCATTATCATCAAGCTGGATTGACTCAGAACTCACCTTTGAATGGGTTTCCAGGGGCTATAAATTGCAAAGGAGATCATTTACCTTTCCCCCATAGACTTGCTGGTAGATTTGAAGCTCCCGAAGGGTGTTGCCTTTGGGTTAGAACACAGTTCTCTATAAACTACATCACCAGAGCTCCTTGAAAGAAGTTACAATTCAGGGTCAAGATCAGGAAGCATGAACGCAAAGTCTCTTCTCATAAATTCAAGGCACCTCTCTTTCAACTTCCTTTCTGCCAAGGCAGCTTTCTCTCTGTCCTTATGACAGACATCTTTCTATTCTGAGGTCTTCTCAGGCTCCCTGAAAGGATGATTATTTACTCTTCCAGGTTCTCATCATCTCCTAAATGGAGTCCTCATGGGATTGTTAGGAGGTTTCGCCTGATTTCTACAATGCTTGATCAAGTGTTAGAAAGAAAGCCCTTTGGCTTCACTAATAAGTGCCTGGGGTCACTTCACTCCACCAGCAAGCTTTATATCCAATGACCCTCATTTTTTTTCTTGTTCTGTGGACCAGCTTACCTACTGTAATCACCTTGCTCTGTGGGCTGGGAAGCCCACTGTCCCATCTACTGCTGGTCTCCTACATTTGTACATCTATAGCTTTTACATCTTGTCATCTTTGGTGACACAGTTCCTTGGGTTAAAAGTCTCAGCACAGAGATCCCAGGTCAGAAGAATGCATTCTGCTCATGACTTTCCTTTTCCATGGTAATGGGATGCCCTCTGTCTGATGTGGATTTGCTCTCTTTAAGCCTATTGAGAGGGAGCTCTGCTGGCCTAGTTCATAGGAAGTTGCTCTGTTAACCCAAAGAGTATGGTTTCCTGGTAGTCCAAGTTCATCATTAGCTCTGAGGGAGGAAGATAATCTCCAGTGTGATTTACAGCCTCAGAAACTCAATAGTTATGAGTCAGTTCTGACTCAACCACAATGCGTTGGTTTTTTTTGTTTGAAGCCTTTCAAGATGGCAGAGCTGCTCAATTAGGGTCTTCTAAGCTCTGTGTGCAAAGCTCCACTCCCTCAAGGGTCTCATGCACCTTGTTTGCATTGTTAGTAGCTTGACTGAGACCCTGCAGATAGACCCAAAACACTTAATTGACAGAGTCTGATCCAATCTTTCTTGGAGGAATCAAAAGACCACGAATGGCCAGAAGAACCATATTAAATACATCACCGCACCACAGTTTCTGATTCAGAATATAGGTTCTGATTCAGAAGAAATTGTCATTGTTGTTGTTGTTGTTTTGTGCCATCGAGTCACCTGCAACTCGACCCTAAACCCTGCTCTATCCTGTGCCAATCTCATTGTCTCTGACACATCTACCTCCATTACACTAGTCACTGAATCAATCAGTCTTATCGAGGGTCTTCCTCTCCCGTGCTGTCCCTCCACTCTCCCAAGCATGACTCCCCTCTCCAAGGACTGGTCCCTTCTTACATGTCCAAAATTGTCAGATGAAGCTTCAGAATCCTTGCCTCCAAGGAGAAGCCTGGCATCAGAATTCCTTCTATCATCCCTAGTCATTGTTCAGCTCTCTGATGAAAGTGATTGCAAAGACCATGGCCTGTATCAGGAGCACCTCAGTCTCCAGACTGACATTGTTGCTCTTCAGTACTGTGGAGACTCTAAAAGCAGACTTTCTCATAACAATATGTCTTTTAATTTCCTGGCTGCTGGTGCCAATAGTGTTAATTGTGTAGTCAAGCAAACTAAAGCTGTTAACAATCTCAATCTCTTCACCATCCATCATGTTGCTGCCAATTGGCCCAGTGGTGAGAATCTTTTTTTTTCTTGATATTGAGCCTCAATCCATACTGAAGACTGCAGTCTCTGCCCTTCTACAGCAAGCGCTTCAGGTCCTCCTCAGTTTCAGCAAGCAGGGTTGTGTCATCTGCATAATGCAGATTGTTGATGAGTCTTCCTCCAATCCTGATGCCAATTTTCTCCTCAGAGAGCTCAGCCTCTTGGACAATCTGTTCTGCACAAAGATTGAAAAGGTATGGAGACAGGATACAGCCCTGGTGTACACCCTTCCCAATTTTGAACCATGCAGTGTTTCCTTGCTCAGTTCTGACGACTGCCTCCTGATCCAAGTATAGGTTCCGCATTAGCATGATCAAGTGTTCTGGGATTCCCATTCTTCTCAGAGTCAGCCACAGTTTGTTATGACCCACACAGTCAAACGCCTTTGCATAGTCAATGAAACATAGACATTCCTCTGGTACTCCCTGCATTCAGCCAAGATCCATCTAACATTAACTATAGTACCCCTAGTATCACAACCCCTTCTAAACCCAGCTTGCACTTCTGAAATTTCTCTGCTAATGTGCTGTTCCAATTGTTTTTGCATAGTCTTCGGCAGACTCTTGCTTGCATGTGATATTACTGATATTGTTTGATAATTTCCACACTCTGTCGGATCACTTTTGTTTGGAATGGGAGCAAATATAGATCTCTTCCAGTAAGTTGGCTTTATTTGCAAGTTCAAGCTGAAACAATTAGCACTTGAAAATATCCCCCACTCCCAACTTGTGCCACTGAATGAAACTGATAATTTTTTATCTCTCTAAAATTATGACAGTAGAAATGAAGCTGAAGTCCTCATTGCACATGCCATTAGTGTTTATCGGTGTGTTGTTGTTTGTTTTGGTGAGTTGTTGTTGGATTTTTTTTGGTGAGGTTTTTTTGTTTGTTTCTGATGGAATTCTTGTACAATTAGGCTATAGTAGCCTACATACTATATACAATCTAACATGAATGTAGTCATTTTAATGAGATTCAATGTCCTAAAGAGTAAAATTGCTTCATATGTAAGAATAAGAAAACAATCGGAAAATTGTATTTCAAGTGTTTCTTTATTTCCTTACTCTGTAAGCATCAATCACACATTTAAATAGTATTTGGGTTTTATGAGGTCTTTATCCTTTGATGAATTGCCTTGTGGCATATATAGGACCAAACCATGATTGACAGGCGATAATAGGGACTAGACATAAAGCATCTGTGAAATTGCTGCTTTAAAGTGGAGTGCTCGCTGTGTGGCAGAGCCGCAAAGCTGCATGGGACAGACTACACCTTAATGTTTAGATGGAGAGATAACTTCTGATGGATGTGATTACACATGTTTGTGTCCCCTGATTTGCCAATGGCAGCCGAGAAGGGAGGGTGATGGCCCCGAACATCACTTCCTTGCTCGAAGTTCATGCACAATTTATGCTTCTACCTGGGGGCAAAATAGGCTAATAAGGCCAGGAAGGAGGGGTGAACGTGGGAGTGGGTAATAACTAGGGAGAGCTTCATAGCATCAACCTGGGGGGAAAAGGAGGAGGGCTGAGGCTAGAGGGTGTTTCCTCCTGCTTCTGCCTATGTCCCAAGTGGCAGAAGAAATTTTGAAAGCTGATGTGAGGAGGAGCTACCGACTTGGTTTTGGGGTGTTTTGTACCCCACCCTCCCCACTTGCAGGAATACCTCTTTACAAGGAGTAATTGAATGGGAAGAAAAGGAAGCCAAGCTGGGAGTAGAAGGGAGGCAATTCTCAAGCTTCTCCTCCTTTTCTCACTTGCTTCCTGAGTCCTCTCCAAACCAGCTCATCTGTGCCAAGAGGGCAGCAGAATACCCTGCACCCAGGGCAGTGTCGGCGGTTGGGCATCGATTTAGCTCCCTGTATCCCAGGCTGCCTCCTCTCCAGCCACCATCCCTGGCCATTGGACCGGCTCTGATGGCTGAGGCCTCTACTGCGCTGAGGAGCACCTTCTCTAAGCAGCTCCTCTTCTTCCTACTGGTGAGTAACAAGAAGGATTAAGGCCATAAAGCATGTTCCTACCTGTGTCCCTCCTCTAGTTCAGGCTTGAAAGAGCGAGAGGTGGGGTAGAACGCGGAGTAGGGTGACTGGGAAAACAAAAGAAGACTGAGAAAGCTCTGAGGAGGAGTTGAGAGACGTGTGGTCCAGGATGAGAGACGTTTTGCACACTGTCAAGAGCGCCTGTCATGCAGTGATTGTTTTCCGCAAGGAAATTCCCTTGTTATTGTGGTGTTTTCTTAGAGTAGCAGAATAATGCATTCTTCAGGCATTTGACCTAGAAGGTTTTGTGGTTTGCTTTTGCCCCTGGTCATGAAATAATCTCTGGGTTTTTAACATATGCAATTCCCCTGAACTGTGAGAAGAGAATAGTGGTTTTGAGTGAAAATACAAATTATCCAGGACTCTGACTTAGAAAGAATGAAGGAAAGGGCAGAAATTGTAACTCAGTCAGCAAGTGTTACTTGAGAGAATTTTTTTAAAAAGTGTGACAATCATTAAACAGAAGTAGAACTTCCAGCTGTTTGTAGCGTTGTATCTGTGCTGTAGGAGGTTAATGTTTCTTTGGTTAAGAGAAGGGGCAGAGAGAAAAATGGTTCTTCTCTGTGCTGGAAAATTTGTTTTAAAACATTTAGCAAAAGATTTTAGCCTCAAATATTTTCAAAATAGGACATTTTTACCATAGAGCTGATGAATAAGTTCTAATCCTATTGGGAAATAGAATGTAAGAGACAAGTTAGCACTAGATGGGTAAACTGTGGTTAAAATTCTCAAAGGATTCATTCAGGTTTCTTTTGCACTGGGGCCCTGTCCTGTCCATTCACACTTGATTTGTGCCCTGTGCATGCATCACTTATCCACATAACAGCTAAAAGATGCTCTGATCCTGATTCCCTCCAAATCTGTGCTTAATGAGAGACTGACATAATCCTTAATGATTATAAACTTCCATGGAGTCTGTCTGCAGAGATAAGACCACTAACATGGGGCTCTAGGGCAGTCAGGAAAGAAGAAATACAATTGTGGGAATGGGGGTGAGACTAACGTCCCACGTATACACACGTAACTGTGTTTGTATGCTTCCATATATGTAATGAATAATGTAAGCATGTCACACCTATGCATGTACTTCCTATGTGTGCATATACATTTTTCTAGTTAACAGAATATCTTTTCCTACATTATATATTTAAATCATGACAGATTAATCATTGTAGATTATTTTTTACTCTAAAGTGGTTTTAGAAATACTACACCCTTTGCAAATAAGAATTAAGATTATAAAAATGTAAAAGAAGCATAAAAATCTTCCACTCTTCATTATACTAAGTGAAGTAACTCAGTCAGATAAGGACAAATACTGTAGGAGACCATTATTGTAGAACACGTATGAGGACCAAGGTGGGAGGGTGAGAACAGTAGGGTGAGGATGAGGAGGGGTTAATCATAGGGTCTCACAATTTGATGAGTAGGGGGGTGGGTAAAGGAAATAGGGAAAATAGTGTGAAAAACAATGGATATGAATTTTGTATGTAAACCTATATAAATTTTTTTAAGAAAGGTTTTCTGCTCTTAAAATTGATCACTTAAAACTAGATAAAATGTGACCTTTTTCATTAAAAAATTTTATGTTACCTACCTAACATTTTTTTGAGAAATTAAAAAGAAAGTTTAAATAAACTCTAAGACTTAACTGAATAGGGCTAAAACAAGGAGAAAGTACATATTCTTAATATGAATGTCAATCTTTCTATCTTTCTCTATCTCTCTCCCTCCTTATCTCCCTCCTTCCCTCCACCTCTTTCTTTCAGATAGTGGGATCCATAACTAGAAATCTATCCATATAGGAAAACTGACAAGTTTATGGAAAAAATTACCGCTATTATTATTTAGCTCAACAATATGTAAAATATTAAGATTTTTAGCTCTATTATTTATATTTAAATTAAGAGAATATAGTAAAGAGAAGAAAAAACAAACATAAAATATTTAAGAAAGGAAGAAAGTATGTTCGTAACTTGTAGATACACTTAAACATTTTTTCAGATAGTCTCTGTCTTCTTTCCTTGAAGTACGTGGCTTTTCAGTAACACTTTTGTTATAGACTAGACAAGTATAAGCAGACCAAGGTTTATTAGTGATTACTAGGAATGGATAGGAGGGAGACAAGTGGAACTCATTACTTAGGCATCCATCAAGGGTGATGAAAGCAATTTAAGGCAAATAATGGTGATGATTGAACCTAATAAACCTAACTAATGTTACTGTTACATACAATGAAGGTTAAAGTAGCAAAGGCTTTATTACATATAGTGTTGTTATAGTGGTAGAGAGAGTGAAAGGAGGAGGGAAAGAGAGAAGAAAAGAGGGGAGAAGAAGGAAAAAGGAAATATTTCTTTTTTTTAGACAGGTTATTTAATTTGAGATATTTATAGACTATGAAGTTTATGTTAAGCCAGTCTGAAGAGGGTTTTTAAAATGAGGATAAAAGGAATTTTCCTTGATTTCATGAATTATATATTCAAATAGTTGAGGATGTTAAAATGATTATAGTTTGATAGTTAATAGAAATGTAACTATTGTGTTCTACAGTCAAGTGCTTTTTTTAAATGCTATGTGTCAAAGTGACATTTATTTACTTTTAGAGATGGTAGCTGTTACATAAAATCAACAAATTGAAGTGATATAATATCATTTAAATCCCAAGAACCATTTTCACTTTAACTTTTTAATTGATATTAAATCATTGTGGGACCCCTAAATTCACTTTCCTTACTGTTTCTTTTAACACTGAATTTGAGAAACTAGAGAATTGAAGGTTATTTGCTACTGATATTGTTATCAATATGACCAAACTATAATGTGAAAATGTGACTAAGTGTCATTCCTGTTTTCCCCCTTTTATTTGAGGTTCTAATATTATTCTGTGATGCTTGTAAGAAAATTTCTCTTCGAGTTCCTTCTGATCTTAAAGCTGAAACACTTGTAGGCAAAGGTAAGAAATTGTATTTAGATTTTTGTAATTGTAAATTCCAGCATCTAGCTCAAGGCTATTCTTGTAAAAGTCACAGAAAGGTTTTCTTAGCATTAAAATTTGACATAAAATGAAAGACCTACTACTTGAGGTTTTTTGTAGTGGTTAAAAACAATTAAAGTACCAGTGTTAGTTACACACTTTACTTGCCAGAAAAAATTAGCATGCACCATAAAGCTAAATTATTTTAGCTTAGTGGAAACAAAACAAGGAACAAGACATATTCTAATCCATTGCAACGAATGTCTTGTATTTCCCAAATACAATTTCTTTAATAGATTATACATAAAATGATTGTGTCAAAAAATATAATTTGTTTATTTCTTTTCAATGTTTCAGAATAAAAATTGTATTCTGCATTACAAGGAACAAGTGTCTGCCAAGAATTTATGTGTAATCAATTTCACAAAATAACCTGAGAAATTAAAATACAATTTTGCTGAGTCTTATCATAGTCACTCTTGAGCCCAAAAGTAGCATTTTCTGTGTCCAAAAGTAGCACTGCTTTTATCAAGGTGTTTCATTGGTTTACATTTTATTACTAGAAATCTACACTTGAAATATTAGTACCTTTTCCAAGATAATATTGTTTTTGTTAAGTACTCAGAGCTGTTAAAATAGTCCCTTATGTTTTTTATAATCATTTGAAAGCTATACCTAGATACTACTGAGATATAGCAATTGTGTTATATATGAATCTAAGAAGGAATAACTTGATAATTATGGGATAATTAGATTTTAGGAAAAGTAGTATAGAATGATTACTTGCAAGATTCCTTCGAAATATTAAGAATAGACTAGTTTGGGGTTTTTTGTTGTTTTTGATATGAGATGGTCTCAGCTACCAAAAGAATATTGCAAAGAAGTTAAAAGTCTACTGTCTTCATACAGTTATACTACAAAAGATGTAAAACAGCCAATTTAAATATGCTTGTATACATACAAATAAAAATAGTAACTAAAGTAGAAATAGAGTACATTCAATGACTAAAATATTTTATAACAAAAGTAGTGGAAATAGGACTTCGATAATTCTTTTCATTGATCATATGTTTTCGAATACCTGATACTCAGCATATTTCAAGGGCAGCCTTTCTCTTTCTGCTTCTCTTGCACTAACACTCAGTTGTCAAACCTGCAAAACCTGTTCTGTTCCTGTTTCATCTTACAAATGACTGTGAAATTTCTTCCCTGCAGTGAATCTGGAGGAGTGTCTCAAGTCTACCAGCCACATCAAGTCCAGTGACCCTGACTTCAGAATTCTAGAAGATGGCTCCATTTACACAAAGCAGGACCTCACTTTGTCTTCTAAAAGGAAGAAATTTTTCATTTTCCTCTCAGATAGTCAGAGACAGGAACAGATAGAGATTGAGCTTGTCCCTGAAGCAAGGGTAAACAAGGTATGATGGACAGAGGCTTAAGTAGCTCAGTGTATCATTCTTTTTACAAAGACGCTCATTTTACATACATTCTACTAGCTTTAAAGCAGTCTTTTTTTTTTACATTTGATTATTTGTTTTTACTTGTTCTTTTGAAAAGAAAACCTGGTCTATAAATGGAAAAATGGTTAAAATGGTCACATTGTAAAATTTCATCCTCTATTCGAACAACTAATTCACAAACAACTTGATGGCGCATAACAACAACATTCGAAGAACTGAGTAAACTCATAATTTTACACTCAAAACTCAAATAACTCAGATTCTCAAAAACCTATACACAAAATGACACATAGTAACAGACGGAGTAGCATGTGTGCCACAAGAAACCAGACTTACGCTTTTAATTGGCTTATCAAAATGTATACTTTGGAAAGCAGTCCTCCTGAATGATCATTTATTTGTCTATACCACTTACAATTTCACACACACACACACACATTATGATTTTAAGGAGTGGCAGAGCGATTTACAAAACTGTACAAGTGAACAACTCTGTCTCCAGGGACGAAAGAATAGCAAGTATTTCAGATAATGTTTTGAGGTGTGACAATGAAAAGAACCAACTGGAAGAACAAGCCGGGGGTGGGTGGAAAGCAGAGTGAAAACTGATTCAGACTGGAAATGCGACACTCCACCCTGAGTGTCTCTAGCTCAGGTGATGATGGTGGACTGAGTCTCCCACAGAGGAGAAGGGATGATCTCAGGATTACTCACATGCTAATTGAAACCTCCATGGCTTTGCTCTCTTTGGAGCAGAGGCGCGGCCAGCCTAGATCTAGACTAATTTTCTTGGAGTGAGAGTGGGACTCGATCCAGGGTATGGGAGGGGAGAAGATGAGGAAAATATACATCAATCTCAACCTTCTGCACACTTAGCAGAATGATTCTGCTTCCATAAATTCAGTTATTAATAAGTGGCCCAACTCATAAGATTTCCAAGAAAAGTGGCTCTTGATGACAAGAATACATCTTCACTGAAAAGTTGACAAAATACAATTTATATAAAGATTGTTTAACACAGTCATATTACATAAAAGCGGAATGTACTTGAAAAAATACTGACCTGTGTCATTATACATATAAAGGAGTGCTCAGAACTTTGGTGAATAAGGATTTTTTATCCTACTGTTCATTGTAGAGTAAAATTAATTCTTATGTATTTGTTAAATAATCTCCAATCTCCTCAGGGAATCAAGAGTTTCTCTGGGGGAGCTCTGGTGGCCTAGTGGCAAGGAGCTGCAACTACAATCCCAGAGGTGCACGGTTCAAATCCACCAGATGCTCTGCCGGGGAAGGAGGGGCAGTCTCCTCCTGTACCAGTCAGATCTGATTTGACGGTACACTCCACAAAAATAATAAAATTTAAAAAAAATTT